CCCCCCCCCCCCCCCCCCCCCCAGCTGTCCTGTGTGTCTTCTCCAGTTACATCACCAATTTCTTCTTTGGGCAACAGCCTGGCCCCACCCCAGGCTGACTCATAAGCAGGTGCCATGGAAAACCCATGGTCCCCCAAGCCAGCCACATGCTTGTCAGGGTGAGATTCCATTTCCAGGATGAGGCAGCAAAGCCTTGTTGTTCTGGACCCTGGCAGCCCCTCCCCCACCCCCGCCCCTTTGCTGCCCTCCCTGAGCCTGGAGTGCACCCGTTACCAGCTAGAATTTGCCCGATCACAGAGCAACTGACTCAGCGTGGAGCTGGCAATGTGAGCCTCTGCGGCTTTCCCTCAGAACTGTGGTCAACAAGCTCCTGCTTTTGACTCTTCCTACTTATTGCCCCAGCATCCTTGAGACCAGGACTAGGATCTTCCATCTCCCCAGTGCCCAGGTCAGAGCACTAACTAGACCATCAGTGGAAGGCTCCAGTGACCTAGAGAACAAGTGCCTCAGAAAACAAGTGTCTACAGGGAAAGGGGCAGTGCTCCTGTTACAGTCTCTGACGGGTCTACAACACTGTCAGTAAAAAGAGACTTGGTCCTGCTTAGGTACCCCCTCTGATCCACATCCCCCGCCAGCACCAGGGAAGGCACGGCAGTGAGAGCTCCATGCCAGTGACTGTCACTGGGTAAGTGCTGGGTTGCACATCCCAGGGTGTCCCATGGAGCAGTCACCATCCTCCCTGTGCCTCTAGGAGCACGGCATCTCTCCCAAGGCTGTTTGCACACCGATCTCACAGTTGCTTGGGTCTGTGTGCAGAGGAACTTTCTGGAAAAGCGCTGGAGAGCTGAGCTCTGCAGGTTTGCAAGGCTTCCCATGGTTGCTGGGCTTCTATCCACTGGGTGTTGACTGACAGCTGCACTGAGCAGCTTGTGTCTACTCTTAAGAATGAAATCCAAAGGAAGCAGAGTCTTCCAAGCACTCGCCAACTGCCTGGGTTTCAGCAGACCTCAGAAGCACATGATTAGCTTTGGATCTGATCTGGGTGTGGGCCACCTAACCTGGAGGGAAGCCTGAGATTCCGCTTTTACTCATTCTGGCCTGGTGGATACTATTCTTTTTTCAGCAAACATCAGTGCTGTTGGATCTGATCTGGGTGTGGGCCACCTAACCTGGAGGGAAGCCTGAGATTCTGCTTTTACTCATTCTGGCCTGGTGGATACTATTCTTTTTTCGCAAACATCAGTGCTTTAATGCCAGGCACTATTCTAGGCATCTAGGGGCCAGACAAGTACTTCAAAATGATGATAAAACGTGCTCTTTATATGGTATGATCTATTAAAACACTAAGTACCAACTCCTGTGTGCCTATAATGTGCCTGGCACTTGTGTGCAGTGTGTCTTTTATTTCCAGCCATAGGGGTGAGTGACGAGTCGTGCGATAATGTCTCAGAGGAAAATTATCCAGAGCCAGGCAGAGCCTGACATTTAGTAGGCACTTCATAAATATTTGCCACATGAGAGTCTGAACCGAGATAAGTGCCAGAGGATCGTGAGGGGACACTGAGGAAAAGGACCTTGGGGACCTTTGTTGGCTCATCTTCCTGCAGCATGGGAGAACTTTTTGTCTCCTGTCTGTTGTTGTTTTCATTACCTGCAACCTTAAGCTTGGTGGTACCAGACTATTCATTCTGTCAGTTCAGCTGATCAACACTAGTGTGTGTAAGACTATGGCAGATCCTAGGATGGAGCGGCCAGTGGCCTGTCAGTGTAGCTGCCCAATAGCCAGCTCTCCACAGACCCGTACTATAACAGCAGGTTGTGGTAAGTCAGTCTTTGCAGAAGAAGCAAACAGGCTAGGTGGTTGGACAGGGAAGGAGAGCCCTATCTTCCATAGGAGTCAGGAAAAGCCTCACTGAAGATGGGACATGTGGTTAGGCCCCTGAGGGAGAAGGCAGGGAAGGAGTGCCACACTGCGCAGGGCACAAGTCCAGTGGGGCAAGCTGGGGAGTGGAGAGCATGGCAGCAAGGTGAGTTGGAGGCCATGATGTTCCTGGGACCATGGGTGGAGCTCTGGCTTCCATGCCAAGAGGATGGAATGATCTTGGACACCGGAAAGCCATAGTTTATCCCTGTGCCTGAAAATCCTCAGTGTGGGGGTTCCCAGTCCTCAGTGTGGGGGTTCCCAGTTTGGAAACCTATCAGGCAGAGCATCAAGAGTTACCTTATAGGGCAGGCAACATGGTTCAGTAGGTAAAGATGCCTACCACCAAGGCTGATGACCTGAGTTCAGTCCCTGAGACCCACGTGAGAAGGAGAGAACCAAATCCCAGAAGTTGTCCCCTGACCTCTTCAGGCATACACATACACATGTACACACATACACTGTTTTGGTTTTTTTAATTATTATTTTATGTGTATGAGTGTTGTATCTGCATGTATGTAAGTGCACCCCAGTAATGCAGTGCCTGCAGAGACCAGAAGAGGGCATCAGATCCCCTGGAACTGGAGTTATGGATTGTTGTTAGCCGGCATGCGGGTGCTGGGATACGAACCCAGGTCCTATGCAAGAGCAGCCAGTGCTCTTAACTGCTGAGTGGGTGAACATAGTAAGAACATAATAAGAAATTCTCAAAAGAGCCACTGTGTGGATGAACGCCTCAGCCCCGGCTGTGTTTCCATTGTTGCCTGCCCTGCCCTTGCTGCCCAGGTACCAAAACCAATTGTTGAGGCCCCTTTGCCCTCAAACTGCTCACAGCTTAGATGGAGGAAAATAGGGAATGGAAAAAGGGAGAGGAAGAGACAGCAAAACAGGAATAAATAGCACACTGCAGTGCAGCATAAGCATCAACTGGCCCTTTGGCAATGTGTGAAAGCTCTTAAGATCATTGGGGGAGGTTGGGAGATGAGGAGGAACTTCTGGGCTACCTTGCAGCTTCTTAGAAGTTTTAAACTATTTCAGAATAAGCAAGTAACTTTAAAATGCATCCACCAAACAAAAGGACTTAATACAGTATAACATGTGAAAAGATCCAGGCAGTGTGAAAAGCAGCGGGGCCGCCCCACTACATCTTCACACTGTTTTTTTTTCAACAGGTCAGTCATCTGGGAAGATCAGAGAAATGTCCCCTGCAAAGAAGATGGTCATTTCTTTGAAGATCAATGACCCGGCAGTCACCAGAGTTGGTAAGGCACTCTACCTTCATGGTCTAAGAATGCCATTGACCCATCCTCCCAGAATCAAAAACAGACTGCAAAACACAGCAAACATGTGATACATGTTCCTTATCAAAAATACCAAGCAAGGGCTAGGGCGTAAGCATGAGGACCTGAGCTTGGATTCCCAGCACACATGTAAAGCTGTACATCTGCAATCCTAGTGCTGAGGCAGGAGAGAGGCAGAAACAAGTGATTCCTGGAGCAATCATTGGTCAACGAGCTTAGGCAAATTGATGTGATCCAGGTTCAATGCAAGACCGTGCCTCAAAAAAAAAAAAAAGAGAGAGATAGAGCGAGATCAAGGAACACACCTAGCATCAACCTCCAGCCTTCAGGCACACACACAATTCTGAACAGTACTGAGAAAGAAGGGACAAGAGGGCTTGGGACACTTGGGAAAATGGAAGAAAGTAGATCTCTCCTAAAGAGCCATGAGGCCACTGGGCAAGGACAAGATTCAGGAGGGGAAGGAAGCGCAGGCTTCCCAGACAGACCTGGGGGAACTGCCCTTCCCAAATTCATACCTGCAGGGTACAGGGGTGCCCTGAGGGCCCACCCTTCTTTAAACAGTGCTTGACCTGCCCCCTCCTCTACTGGCCCCCACTGGCTGGCTTTCAGCAGCAGACGGCCCCTGCAGAGTGCTCACCCTTCCCAACCAGTCATTTGTGTTAACACAAGGTGCAGGACATCCTGAGATGATGATGGGTCTGTGAGTTGGTAGGTCAGGAACAAAGTCCTTAAGCATAGGTACAGCCTGTTGTCCTCAGAGCACACTGGGACAGCATGGCGACACTGTCTTGGCACATGTGCACTTGGATGAGGCCAGGTCCATCTGATTCTAGCCGAGCAATCTGGTTTCTGAACCATTAAATTATCCTGGCTCTTCCTAGGAGCCCCTGGGCTTTTCTGAAGTCCCAGGGAAACCCGTCATAAGCTATATGTCATGGCTCAAGAGAAAGTATTCCTACCCGAGCACAGTATTTAGCGTTCACAGATTCAGGTAGACACTTTCCTGTGGGGCCATGGACTCCAAGTCATAGGAGAGATCTGTGAGATGTGCCACCCTCAAGGCTGCCTGAGCATCAAAGGAGGGTCCTTAGAGTAGAGCTCAGCTTTTCTTACCTTCATCCTCAGCTTCTCTCTGGAGCTGGGGGCCCAGGTGGTCATCTACCCAGGTGGAATACCCAAGTCAGAGCATGCCTCTCTTTCAAGTATTTCCACCCTGCCAGCTGCAGGAGTACTGAAGTCTCCAAGTGGCACCCCTGTGTGAACCCCACCCTGACGGCTCCCCTTCTGCCCCCCAGCCTTCGCTCTGGCCCTCAAGAATCTCTACATGAATGAAGTAGAGATGAATGCAGACGACGTGCTGGGGGTACTGGCTTCTGCTCACATCCTCCAGTTTGGCCGCCTATTTCAAAAGTAAGGAGACAAGAGGGATGGGCCAGCCTGGGCAAATTGGGAGTATCCCTCATGACCCATTTCCTGAAATATTCCTCTTTCCTGGACAAAGATTATTCTTTCCAAGCATGGCTTAGAACTTGGAAAGGACTAAGACGTTAGCTCATGTCAGCACACTATGAGCCCCATCCCCATGCACATTTTAACGGAGTGATTCTTGGCTCACAAGAATGAAATACAAATCGGGAGATTTCTATCATGGGGAGAGATTATACAGGTGTGCAAGAATGACTTCCTTCAAACCTGGCTTGCTTATCAGTTTTACCTGGGTTCATTTTGTAGCAGAAAATTTTGTTAAGCGCTCACACATATAAGCTGGCTGTTGGAGGAAAGCCGGCTTCCTTACTTTGGGGCCTTTTTTTCTCACTCATTTCAGGTAAAGCCTTAGTTTAGTCTTGTAAATATTTTTATTGTTGTGAATGTTATATATAGTCACTGTAAATCTCTCTGAAGGGAAAAAAATGCAAAGATCAGGCCAGTGAGACGGCTCAGCAGGTAAAAGCACTTGCCATCTAGGCCTGATGATCTGAGTTTGATCCCCAAAACCCACACGGTGGAATTGGAGAACTGATTCCGACAAGCTGTCCTCTGACCTCCACATGTACACCATAGCATACAAATGCCTCCCCTGACCAGGGGTCCAGAGAGGTTGGAGAGGACCAGGAGGCACTCAAAGGGAATTGACTGTCCAAAATAAGGGTTTCACATCCTGAGAAGTCACCTGGGTCCTGTAGCTTGTATATGATGAGATATTGAGGGAGCGACAGAAATACGTTAGTGCATCTACCCGAGCAGCCACAGTGACGTAGCCTAATGGGGCTGGGTCACGGCCTCCCAGTGGTCAGAGGACTTTTCTACAGAATTCAAAGAAACTGTGTGACTAAGAAGCAAAGGCTGTGTTTAGTCCCGTAATTAACTGCCTCAGTGGTTTGTGCCCTTAAGTGTGGCTCAGAGTGTTTGCCCTAACCACCCGGGACTTTGTTGAGGACTAGGGAACACTGGCCCAAAAAGCCTTGAGATGGCGTGTTGGCTGAAGTCAGACCTTCTCAGCACTTTGCAGAGACTGGCTTTCTTCACCCACTTCCCTGCAGCCCCAAGAGCTGGGACTGTTTCTGAATCTGTTTTATGCCTGGAGCTTGAGAGATAAGGAACTCGCCTCCAGCCACACAGCAGAGCTGCCAGGACCCCAAACCTGCACCACTAACCACATTTCCCGCTCTGCTCAGGTGAGGTGGCTGTGCTGTCACCTGCCTCTTTGAGGTCCTGACCCGTCCTATACCCCTCCCTTCTATGGCCCTGGTCAGTGGGGTTTGCTTATTCAATGAACCTTCATTCACTCCTCTGCTCCTTCCAGGATGGTTTCTTGACCTTCTCTGGGATGCTAAGGAGACCGAGAGAGACAGATGGCAGGTGGCAGCCCATGAAGGTTCCTGGCTCAAAAGTCCCCAAGACACAGGAAATGAGTCAAGTCGGGTGGAGTGAAGGTCAACAACTTCCAAATGTTACATTTTGGGCTGGTTCAGGAACAATTTGTGCTTATGATAAGAAAAGTCACTTCTTGGAACTCCCCTTCAACATCCTGTATAGTTCATCCATGCTCTAATGCTTAGGAAAGGGTACTGGGGCACATGGAAATCCTTAGTGCCATTCATCTTTCTAGAATACCTTGTTCCTCCTCTGAGCTCTTTCAGGGATGTGTGCCTCCTGCACCTGCGTGGTCCTGAAGACAGACCTGGAGTAATGTGGCTCTGGTTTCTTAAGAAATTGTGGGCCGGGCGTGGTGGCGCACACCTTTAATCCCAGCACTTGGGAGGCAGAGGAAGGCAGATCTCTGTGAGTTCAAGGCTAGCCTGGTCTACATAATGAGTTCCAGGACAGCTGGGGCTACAGGGAGACCCTGTCTCAAAAAGACCAAAAAAAAAAAAAAAAATTGTGATGCAGTTCAGCATAGAGAGACCCAGGGCAGGCATGGTCTGCCTGGCTCTCTTCACCTCCTCAAGCCTCTGTGTGTTTTCACTTTGGGCTGTTGCTGATGAGATCTTAGGATATTGCCCAGGCTGGCTTCGAACTTGCAATCTTCCAGCCTTGGTCTCCTGAGTGCCGGGATCACAGAGCTGCACGCTCACTCCTGACGAGCCTTGGTTTCTTCATTTGTATGAGTCAGTGAATGAGTTTCCACCAGGCCAAGAGAAAACACAGGCTGCTCTGCAGAGAGAGGAGACGGGCACTCCTGAGGCCCGCCAGGATTTAGATGATTATTTTTAGAGGCTGCACATTCAGATTAAATCCCTCAATGTGTGAGTGTGCACACGTTCGTGCAGAACAGCAGCACCCCAAGTCATTCTCATAGTACCCTAACTTCAGGCATCAGCTGAGACCTCGGTTAGTGAAAAACCACCCAGACAGCTGCTTGGCTCTGACTCACACATCCTGAGGTCTTTAAGGGATAGAATCTGTGCAACGTAGATACCACCAGGTGATGTTGCTCTAGCTCTGACTCACACATCCTGAGGCCTTTAAGGAATAGAATCTGTGCACGTATACCACCAGGTGATGTTGCTCTAGCTCTGAGTCATGTCTATATTCGGGCTGGAGTCACAGCTGAAATCATGGCTGTCACAGGTGGCTGGAATGGAAGAGGAGGGGCAAGGTGAATCTGGAGGTCAGGCAGAGCCTGTGTCCTGCAGGGTCTTGGAAATTACATCAGCAACTTCCTCTGCTTGGTTCTGTGAAAGGGGCCTGGAACTCAGAGGGGAGTTGGCATGAGCCCCTCTGTGGAGTGGTCAGAGCCCCTCGGGCACAGTGGGAGGCTGTCACTGAAGCCAAGCTGGAAGGCACAGAGGATCTGAGCTAAGTTTGGGGAGAAGAGAGACAGGACCAAGAGACCTGAAGATAAGAATTGATGGGATCCACACTGTTATGAAACAAAGTGCTCCCCAGATGAATTCAGGGCCTGGAGTCTACTCAGCACAAGGTTCTCTCATCATGGTCAGTCTCCCTGAAGCAGTGAGGCCATGCTAGAACGCAAGGGTGGAGGGCACCTTGGTCATGGCCAGATGATTTACTCACTGATTATCCCTGACCTTGTTCTAGTACAGGTTTTAGTATGTGAAATAAGACAACAGAATGCCTCACTATCACTGAGCTGAGCCATCCTGCCAGCCCTCCTGTTGCGGTCAGAAGGCTCTGGTCCCTCGCTGGCCTTCCTTCCTCCCTTAGTCCCCAGCTCTTTGTAACAGGCCTGCTAAATCCCTAAAACAAAGGCTTCCTTTCCCTTGGGAGGTCACCACTGCTGTCTTGGAGGTGAACAAAGACCTCTGGGTGCTCCCCTTCTCTGACAGCAGCCTAGGGGTCCTCCAGGATCAGAATATCTATCTCTCTGTAGGTGTATCACCATGATGATGAGCAGACTCACACCAAGCACCGTCAAGAACTTCTACCTAGCAAGCTGCAAGGTGAGACTGGCTGGAAGCGTGCGTGTGGTCCCTGGGTTGAAGAACCTTCAAGAGCACCCCAAAGCCTGGATGCCACCCTCCAGGCCCAGGTCCCAAAAAGCCTACTCAAAGCCACCAACTTAAGTGTAGAAATATGTAGTTTTACAAATTAGTCTATTTTTAAAACAATGCATGAACAACAAAATAGCTTGGAAAGCCTCCATTGGGGGATTTGAGGAGGTTAGCAGCATGATCTTTCTCACCAAGACAGTAAATACCTTCTAGAACATTCATGCTGGGGTCATGAGCTCTTGTCCCAGACAGTGTGTCAGTGTCGGGAACAAATAATGCAATCGAGCTCTTGTTATCAGAGGGCAAGACACACAACGAGGGGCACAAACTGCCCAGGGTGACAAGTGCTGAGGGGGCAATGCTGGGTCCCAGGCTCAGGCCTCCAGAGTTCATCTTCCTCCCTGCAGCCACCACTGACTGGATTGGTCTCTCTCTCTCTCTCTCTCTCTCCAAACTCACTATGGGGGGAGCATTCAGTTCATACACAGGCAAGATAGCATGATGCTCTTACAGCTGCATCAAGAATGCTCTCAATATCCATCAAAGAACCAATGTGGTTGGGGTAGGAGAGATGGTTCCATGACTAAGAGCACTGGTTGTTCTTGCAGAGGACCCAGGTTTGGTTCCCAGTACCCACATGACAGCTAACAACTGTCCTTAACTCCAGTTCCAGGGGACCCAATTCCAGAAAGTCACTCTCAGTGACATCTTTGCATTCTGGTTGACATTTCTTAGCAAGTCGTTAGCCCAGAAAAAACTCCATGTCCTGAGTACATGCAAGGTGTCCTAAAGCCCTCTCAAGGTCCCCAACTCCAGGGGCCTTTTTCACATTCCCTGCCTTTTTAAAAAAATTTTATTTTTATTTTATATGTGTGCATGTATTGCCTGCATGTAGGTAAGTGCACCCATGTCGGGCAGTGCCCACAGAGGTCAGAAGAGGCTGTCAGATCCCCTGGAACTGAAGTTAGGGACAGTTGTCAGCTGCCATGTGGGTGCTGGGATTTGAACTCAGGTCTTCTGCAAGAACAGTCAGTGTTCTTAACCACTGAGCCATCTCTCCAGCCCCCATCCCCTGTCTTTTAATTCTTGCTTCTAAAGTGTGTGCTGGCTCAGCCTCCGAGCTCCACATGGGGTACCCCTCCCCAGCCCTTCTTCAGTGGTCACTGCCCAGGGATTTCAACTTACAGGGCCACCTGAGATTGCATCCAGTTGGGCCACTTATTGTTGTGTGACCAGAGGAAGGGAAGGCACCTTGGAGCCTCAGTTTCCACTGCTGACCTAGGGATAGTAGGGAGCTGACCTCATAGGTTTAAATCATGTACTGTAGTGCCGCTGCCAGAGAGCAGAGGGGGCTGAGAGTCAGGCGTGCCTCATCAAAAACCTTTTTGCTTTCTCAGTACAAGGAAGAGCAACTCACAGTCGCCTGCGAGAAGTGGCTGGCGATGAACTTGGTCCCTCTGGTGGGGACACAGATCCACCTCAGGCACATCCCTCAGCATCTTCTCCACAAGGTGCTGAAGTCTCCCAGGTCAGAATTGGTGTGCCGACTCCATAGTGGGAGTGGGAGGAAGCAGGGGTGGTTGCGGAAGGAAGATGCACCGTGACAGCCCTACCCACACCTGTGTGGATTTAACCACTTGGTTCCGAACTTCCTGTTCTCCCAGACAGCCAGGCCTGGGAGCCAAAAGTCAAGGTACTACATGTGGGTTTGGGAAAGGGGAAACCCTTCATGCTCCCTTTAGGTAGGGACCTGCTGGTGCCAGCTGTCTCCTGACCTGCCTAAATGAGAAAAGCAAAAGACCATTGCTTAAGTAATTGTGAAAAATCTTGACAACATTTGTACACATTAATCACAGAGAATTTGGAAGACAGGGAAAGCCAGGAAAAGGAAAGAAAAACCTTTCACCCCAAACCAGGCTGTACCTCTAGTCCTAACTCCTCTGAATACTTCCAAACCTAAATATCCAACCGCCTGCTTGGTCTTTCTGACCAAGCCAAACCCCAGCTTTCAGATCCTAAGTCCCTGCCCTTGCTCCACACACCCCTTCCCACACACAATGTTCCCAGACCAAGTTAGAACCTTTTGAGTCCTCTGGACACTGCTTTGACCTCACCTTCACGCGACCAGTTCAGCTGCCAAAATGATTCTCAGAGCCCAGCCTGAGGTCAAACGTCCATCATCTCTCACAGACCAAGAAAGGACTCTCTAATTTGGTATCTTCTGACCTTGACCCCCTCCAAGCATAATCTGGTCCTTCACTTCATACTCAGGTAGCAACCACAAGGACCTTGCTCAGGCTTCCTGCGGAGCTCTGTGTGCCCTCTGGCCTGAAGTCCCTTTCCTGTCCCACCAGGCTCCTCATCCTCCTCTTGAGTGGTTCATGGAACCAACCATTCATTCCCAGTGCTTGACTTTTACCTTTTTCCAATGTTTTACCAACATAAACAGCAGCTCGGTAGATGGCCTCCAATGCACACCCTGCCTTAATCTCACATGACTCCCTTGTAATTTTAGAAGTGAAATTGCAAAGATAGAAGGACTGTTTGTCTTTAATTAGTCTTTAAGATATTTTATTTGAAAAATTTACAAGTTTAAGGAAAAACAAGGATTGTACAAAGAGCATCCATGCAGATGCTCCCTGCCTACGATGTTCACACCCAAATGTGGTCAGCATCAACTGAGTATATTCTAAGTTGAAGGTGCATGGAATACCACTAGCTTCCTGAACCTCACAGCCCAGCCACACAGCTGCTGTAGAAGGTCAGCTGTTCATTGCCATGGCCTCTTGGCTGACTGAAAATTTTTACTCCAGTGTGGCCACTCAACATCATGAGAATGGATCACACCACACATGTCATTCTGAGAGATCAAAATTCCATGTTTGATTTCCACTGAATTTGTATAGATTTCACATCATTATAAAGTTGAAAACCTGTAAATCAAACTACCATCACCCCCAGGTGTAGGACCTGCATATGCCTTTTGGCCTGAGACACCCACCCTAGTGTTCCATTCCTGCCCTGTTTTCTTTAGTATTTCCATGTATGAGTGTTACACACATCTTTATTAACTGTTTGGAGGGCATCTATATACACAATGTTCCTATGTCTCAAATAAAAAAGATAATTTTTTTAAAATGTAATGACAGGCTGGAGGGATGGCTTAATAGTTAAGAGCACTTGCTGCTCTTGCAAAGGGCCCAAGTTCAGTACCCAGCACTCATATTGGACAGGTCACAATCACCTGTAACTTCAACTCCAGGAAATCTGATACCCCCTTCCCTTCTGGCCTCCAGGGGCACTGTTTTCCTTCTCTCTCTATCTCTCTCTCTCTCTCTCTCTCTCTCTCCTCTCTCTCTCTCTCTCTCTCTCTCTCTCTTTCTCTCTCTCTCATACACACATACACACACATACACACACATACATACACACATATACGCAAAGCAATTATCAACTTCAAGAAATTTATCACTGATATGATACTTTGATATCATTGACCCAGTTCTGTCCCTGGTAACATTGTTTTTTCTCTGTAATTCAAGGTTTAATTTAGGAGCACATGTTGTATTCAGGTAAAAATAATCTCTTTGAGTTTATTTTTAAAAGATTCTTGGTGCCCACTGACAATTTTCCAAAGACATTTTAACTTCAGGTGAATTTTAAAAGTGGAAACTTTATTCTAAAAAAAATTAGTGGTTTAGTGGCATATGAGAAAACAAATGTTAACTCATGTTTAAGTGGCAAAAAGTGTCCTGATTTCAGAAATTTAATCTAGAAGGCCTGGAAAGATGGCTCAGTGCCCGAGGCTTGCTGCATAACCAGGAGGACCCAAATTTGGATCCTAATACCCACACACCAAACTAGGCATGGTCTCATGTGGGTCTATAATCTCAGCACTGTTAGGGACAGAAACAGGAGGGTTGGTGGAGATTGCTGGCTGCCAGGTTCAGGTTCTGGGAGAGATCCTGCCTCCAAGGACTAAGGCAGAGCTAGAGAACACTTGATGCCCTCCTTTAGTCTCCATGTGTGCATATGTACACATACAAACACACACACAATTTGATCTGGAAAGATTAACTCCATGTCAGATCATTAACTTATTTCATGATTTATATTCGCCAAGTGACACCAGGTGCCTAACATTAACTGAAGCAGGAGGGTTCCAGGACAGTGTTCTGGTGTTAAGGAACACTGCATTATCCAAGAAGACTTAGACACCCTTTCTCCAGAGCAGCAAGGTGCTGGCAGGCCCAGTCATTCTGCACTGGTCCCGTTTTTTTCCTACTCCCCACCCGCCACCCTCCACCCTCCCCTCCAACAGAGGTCACCAAATTGAAGAACGTCTAAACATAGCACCCTTAGACATTACATAACGCCATGCCTCCCTTGGAAAAGCTGAGCTGCTCCACCCTGAAATGCCCCACATTTCACTGAAAAAGAGGAAAAAAACGTCTTGACCACAGCCAGAATGTCAGTGATGGCACGGGCCAGACAGAATGCTTAGTGGGCAGGAACATAATTAAAGAGCATGATGTGTCAAATGTCTAGACTCGCCAGCCTGGGAGACATGAGTGAAGTGGAAACTGGGTCCTACCCTCCGGCCCTCTGTAGGAGGTGTCTGTAGATAGGCCAAGGCTGGCCTGCTTGAGGGGTACACACCCCAGAGTGGGCACACAGACACATACATAGATTCACACACACACACACACACACACACACACGCACATACGTGCGCATGTGCACAAAGCAGTTATCAGCTTCAAGGTAGTTATCATTGATATGATAGTTTGATATCATTGACTCAATTCTGTCCATGATAAGATTGTTTTTTTCCTCTAATTCTTTGGCTCACACGCCCCAGAGTGGACAAGGACTCATGGCTGCCCAGACTCACCATATCCTTTTAGGCTGATCTTAATCTTTAGTAGCCACTGTCTTGACAGTTTGTGGGAGAACTGAACTGGGAGGAGAATGGGGATATGACTCAGTCCACAGTCTTGCTGTGAAAGCATGAGGAACTGAGTTTAGATCCCCAGTATCCAGGTAAAAACCCAGGCATGATACCTCCTCAGAGGGGGGAATGTTAGAGTAGCCAAAGCCCCATAAAAATAAATAATCAAAGAAGAAGAAAGAGTACATGAAGTTATCAGAAAAAAGTGATGAGGAGATATGGGAAGAGTTGGAGGGGAGGGAGTGGGCATGGATTTGATCAAAATACCTTGTAAATTATTTATGTTAAAAAAAAAAAAAACCCAGGCCTCAGGCATGACAGTTTACATCTGTAACCTCAGCACTGGGGAGGCAGAAACAGGCAGATCGCTGGAGCTCACTGACTAGTTTGTCTAGTTCAGTTGGTGAGCTTCTGCCTAGTGAGAAATTCTGTCTCAAAAAATAAGGTGGAGAATAATTGAAGAAGACGATGTCAATTTCTGGCCTCCACATACACGTGCATACATGCATACACATGAACACACACACACACACACACACAGAGAGAGAGAGAGAGAGAGAGAGAGAGAGAAATGTAAGCAGGCTAGAGGGCCTCACGTTAGGGCATTTGTTAAAGCAGGATTGGCACCACCACCCACATCTGATCAAGAAGGGACCCTTCCTTTAGCTAACTGCTATAGAGCATTTGCCTGTTCCTGTCGATCCTCCCAGTCCCACACTGTAGTTTTATGGGTGAGATAAGAGAGTTGAGGAGCTATGCAGAGCCTCTAGAATCTACATCCTGCACTCCTGATATGGCGATGTGGCCTCCTACCCCACCTCCCAACACACACATAGTCGTCTCAGAGGCTGAGGCATCCTGGCATGTGGGAAATGTTCATCAAGATCTGGGGTATCCTGAGAGGTTCTGTGGGCCCAGAGAGGGAAGCATGGAAATGATAAAACCTTGAGGTCAGGAATAGGGCATCCTTGGGCTCCTCAGCTGACCCCCACCCAGCCTGTGGTTAGGTTGTTAGGAACAACACGTTTCCTTAGCAGAAGCCTCTACCTCTGGGCCACTCAGCCTTTCCCACCTCTGGGCCATTCAGCCTTTCCCACCTCTGGGCCATTCAGCCTTTCCCACCTCTGGGCCATTCAGTCTTTCCTGTCGGAAAGCCCCTTGACTTCATCTTCTTTTGGTTTTGCTTTCCATTTTGTAAACAACCCAGAGTAAAACATATACAAGTATACACTGTTTTGCTGACCTCCTGGCCTCTGGGTTTTAATTTGTTTGCCAAATACGTGGTTCTTCATTCATTTTCTCTGTAGAGGTCACCACCAGGCAACCTTGTTCTCGTAAATCCAATTTATGAAAACTTCTGTGTTCCTGAAAGCCACACTCCAAGGCTCTCCAGTTCCTGTCTACACAAAAGGGTATCTGGCAATAGGGGACTCCCAGTCCCTCTATTTCTGATCTGTGATCCTGGGAAGCTCAGAATCTTAGGAATTCCCTAAACAAAAAGCCACCCCGGGCTGGTAACATGACTCAGTCCAGTCAGTAAAAAGCGCTGTTTGCTGTACAAGTCTGACAACCTAAGTTGAATCCTCAGAACCCACATAAAAGTTGGGATGCGGTGGCGTACATCTATAACCCCAGCTGTCCTACTATGAAACCAGTGGTGGAGGCAAGAAATTGCCTGGAAGCTCATGGACCAGCCAGCTTGGGGTATGCAGTGAAGCAGAAAGGAGAGAGACCCTGCTTCGACATGGGGGGAGATGAGACCTGACTCTCCAAAGATGTCCTCTGACCTCCACATACAGGACCATGGCACGCATGCACCCACACTCACATGACATACATACACCCTCCTTCATACACAGGAGCACATGGACACAGACACGGACACACACAGACACACAGACACACACACACACACACACAAGTAAATATTTTCCAATAGACACCTGTCATCCTTGTGACTGTCCCCAGCTTTGCCAGCAGATTGTGATGGTGAGCTGCTCCCACATGGCCCCTATGTCTGTAGCAGTTTCTGAAGTTAGTGCTTCGTGGACAAACAAGAACAATGCCTACTGAGTGATTGTGGTGCAGAACCCCCTGACTGTTCTATCCAGATGGGCTCATTCCTGCAGCAACCCGATGTGCTGGGCACTGTCACCTACAGTTTGCACCTGTGAAATGGAGATCACAGGAAATGAAGAGATTAGTCAAAGGTGTGTTCCCCCTCGCCTCTGCTCCTTGCAGCAGGAGAGATGGGATTTGAACATAGGTTCACGTGTCCTCCAAGCCCTGGTCTTTAGCAGACTGCCAATACTCTACTTATGAGACCTTTTGTTCCTTTACTGATGGTCAAGATCAATTAAGGATATTGATCTTACTGTTTTTTACTGTAAGAAATTTTACATTTTGTATTACATGTATGTGTTCGTGTGTGTGTGCACACATGTGTGTGCATGCCACAGCACATATATGGAGGTGAGAGGACAGCCCATGTGAGTTAGTTCTCTCCTTCCACTGTGGGTCCCAAAGATTAAACTCAGGTTGTGAGATTTGGGTTGCAAGCACTTTCACCCCCTGAACCATCTCTTACCCTTTATACTATACATTTTTTTTTTATATATAAAAAGAGGATTAGGAGTTAGAAAACTGGCTCTGCAGTTAAGAGCCTATATTGTTCTTCTTCCAGGAGACTGAAGTTTTGTTCCCAGCACCCTAGGTAGCTCACAACCATCTAGAACTCCAGCTCTGAGGATCTGAGGCCTCTGGCCTCCTCAGGTACCTGCAGCCACATGCACATACCCACACCCACACCCACACATATACACCTTAACATTTATTAAAAACAAAATAAAATCTTTAAAAGAAAAAGTATAGGAAGATTATATAAAACACAGCTGTACTTACCTCTCCAAATAAACAAATAGAAACATTTTGTCATAAATTAAGAAATAAAATATGGCCGAGCGTGGTGGCCATATTTTATCCCAGCACTCGGGAGGCAGAGGCAGGCGGATCACTATGTAGGCCAGCCTGGTCTACATAGTGAGTTCCAGGGCAGCTGGGGCTACAGGGAGACTCTGTCTCAAAAAGACCAAAAAAAAAAAAAAGAAAAACAGAAATATTACCAACAAAGCAGTTCACCTCTCTCCCCTAGTCCTGTTCCATCCGGAAGACAAAGGCGCCACTGTGAGGTGCTTCTGTGCATCCATCCAACCCTGTGATTAAACTCTTCCTACACACTTGTGCCTCCTCCACTATCACATAATGGTATCAACTTCAAATGGTCATCTTTGTGGTGGTAGGAAGGAACTGCAGCCCGCTTACTGAGGTCTCGTGTTATCTCCCTGCTGACGTTGATGTAGCTTTTTAATTTTGAGTGTTGTGCAGGGATCTGTGGAGCAAATGCCCAGCAATATTTTTCATTCCTCGCCTAAATGTCTTTTTCTTGATTTTGGTTTTTACAAACAGCACAGCAGTCAATGGCTATCCATGTTCCTATCCGGTTCATGTGGGTGTGACTTACTCTGTAGTCTGTATTCAGAAAGGAGGTTTATTGCTTATATACACCATTTTCTTGAGAAATAAAAATAAGAAGACAGTGTGTTGTGAAAAACAATGATTTTTCCCTAAACACCAGTTGCATTGCCGAGGGGCCAGTGAGTACCAAGGGAACATGTGCAGCTCAGAGTGGGAGACTGAGTTCCCTCTCGATTGAAATCTGCAGAGCTCTTGTGTGAATTAAAAGTGTGCTTGCATATCCTGGTCATTGTTACTTCGGGGACTAACACATGCCTGTCTGACCTTTTAACATCGTAACAAACATTACCAGCTACGAGGTTCATGCTCAAGGACCACAGAATGAAGTCACAAAAAATAAAAATAATTTAAAAAAACCCTCATGATGCTTTAAGTAAGTGTATGATTTTATGTCAGACTACATTCGTAGCTTTCCTGGGATGCACGCAGCGTGTGAGGCTGCAGGTTGGACAAGCCTGGAAACACTTTCTGGGATTGATACTGGCTAAAGGCGGAGTGCTTTACTTCAGACATTGCGGTTTATAAACAAAGCCAGGATCTGAGTGCCGGAGGCCCCATCATCCTCTTGTTACTGCTGACCCCTCCTTGGTAAGAGCTCTAGAAACTTTCTGGCCTTGAGGACCACAAGTGGAGCATCTCCTCTAGAAGTCACAAGGCCAGCTTGTGTGACTCACCTACCTGACTAAATTCTTTGCGGGGGACATAGCATCCAGCAGTCTGAGAATCACCTCCCTCCCCTGCCTTGCTGCTGTGGCCTAGACAGTGACCAGCTTGGTCTGGTCTGGCCAGACTGAAGCTGGTGCATCTGCAGATGGCCTGAAAACCAAAGAAAAGGAATGAGACACTTCTACCATGTCCAGAAATAGCACCATAGGAGGGAGGCGGGCATGTGCCTCCTATTTTAGGGACACGATTTAGCGTGACTTCCACCCCCAGTGATCCCTGGAGGTGGTGAATGAGGAAACCATGACATTTTGTAACCAGGTGCAATGCCCAGGGTCAGAGACCAGAAATACCAATGGGTAAAGTGTTGAAACAGTTCCTTTGATAATCAAGCCAGCAGAGGCTGTGGGAGGCGGTTTGTTCTTTGTGAGATGGCCTTAGAGGAGGCAGCAGTGGCGCTGCGGCATAGTGGGTTCCTGAGGAAAGGCATCTTGCCACTGTGGCTGTTGCCTGGGCTCTGGAACCAGGAGCCGTCCCTGACACTTTGCGTAAAAGCTACCACTGGCTGAGCACACCATCATGCACCAAGATTCAGTACTAAGCACTTGATTCGTAGGATGCAAAAGATGCCGCATCCTAATCTCTAGAACCTGTGACTACATCAGATTTCATGACAAAGGGGAGTTGAAGTTGCAGGTTGAAGGAGAAGGCTGCTAACTTGCTGACTTCAAAACAGGAGGCCGGCCACCCTGGAGCATAGGGGTGGGCCCAACATAAAGAGGGAGATCAGAAGCTGCCGAATTGCTGGCTTGGACAAAGAAGGGGCCATGAGCCAAGGAATGCTTTCCAGATACCAGGAAAGGCAGGAGAAAGACTCCAGCCTTCAGTAAGAACTACCTGGTCTTGTTTACATCCATGGTGAGAGCCTGGTGAGATCTGCCTTGTACTTCTGACCTCCAGAACTGTGATAAATTTGTGTTGTCTTAAGTCACTCCGACAGTTTGGTCTTCACCGCTGCCCTCTGAGAGGTGGCTGTGGTCTTACTTTCACAGCTGAGTGACCACGGCTACAGGTCAGGGCAGCCATACCCAAGAAGTTCCTGACCCATGCCTAGATCTGAGTCCAAGGGTGTGTGACCTGAGATTAGTTATTCATTTCAATCTCAAGCCAGGCCAGGATTCAGTCAGGCCAATGAGGTGGGTGCAAAATTTAACAGGAGAGGAGGGTTTGATGACTTAAAAGCCTGATTCATCTAAGATAAGTATATGTATGTGCAAAAAAGTCAGAACAAACAAAATTAAATTTTAAAATAAACATAAGGCCAAGAGTAGCCTCCACAGCTATAAAAAAGCAAGGTCTATCTATCTCAATTTCATAGAATTGCACTGTGGAATTAAATTTAAAATCCATAATGTCTTGGGAATGCAGGATGTTTAGAAAGAGCTTACTAACCAATAACATCTTTTTTTATTTATTTGTATTTATTTTATATTTATGAGTATTTTGCCTGTGCATGCAAGTTCACCATGTAAGTGCTACGCTGGAAGGGGGCATCAGATTCCCTGGAACTGCAGTTACAGACAGTTGTTAGCCACCATGTGGGTGCTGAGAATTGATCCCAGGTCTTTTGCAAGAGCGGCCAGTGTTCTTAATCTCCAGCCCAGATAACATCATTTTTCCATCAACAGTGGTAGAAAGTTCAGGGCTGAGTGCCAGGCTGCTGAGGTTTGAGTTCTAGCTGTGTGCTTACAAGCTGGGAAACCCTGAGCAGGTTTCTTAACTTCTTTTTGTCTGAGGCTACTTGTAGACTCAGGCTGGCTTTGCCTCATCCCCAGACTCACTTCTAACTTTATTTTTCTTACAAATATTTTTTTCCTATTCCTAATATTTCTCCTCCTTCTTGTATTTTGACCAGGTTGTTTACCTTTAGCGAATTTCATCTCCTGAAAACCTTACTTCTGTGGGTCTACTTGCAACTTAACTGCAAGGTCCAGGCAATTCCAATCCATGAAACCATGCTGGCGTTTTTCAGCAGGTAATGTGACTTAATGTTGATTGGTATATAAAATGTATATATCCTGGTTTAAAAATTTTTAACTACATTTATTTATGTATGTATTGTGTGTGTGCACACACATTCATGTGTGTAAGTGCAGGTGCACATGTGTCATAGCATGCATGTGAAGGTCAGAAGAATACCTTGGTGTCCGTCTTCACCATCCACCTTGTTTAAGACAGAGTCTCTTGTTCACTGCTGGGTACACCAGTCTAGCTGGCCCTTAATGGGGATCCCCCTGCCTCTGCTTCCCATGTCACAATAGGAGGGCAGAGATTATAGACGCATGTGCTGTCATATCTGGCTTTACATGGGTTCTAGGGAGCTGAACTCAAATCCTCACATTTTCATGGCAAGCACTTTATCCACTGAGTCGTCTCCCCAAGGGGCTGGCTTTATGATTCCCATTTTACAGATGAGGAAGCTGAGGTAGAGACAGAGATCATACATATAATGAGGGATGGAGCCTTACTTGAATCCAGATATGCTAAACCCTACAGGGCTTTGCTGGCTATCCTTGGAACAGCCAGTAGAATTCACCTCTTGTATCTGCTCCAGTGAGTTCACTAGTGTATATTGGGTCTAGAAAAATCCATAGCCTGCCTCTAGAGTTGGTATCGTTAGCCAAGGACTTCTAAAACTGTAGGACACTTTCTTCCCTCTCCATGTTCCCCCTCTACCTGTGGGTGTTTTCTGTCCAATCAAGAGTGTCTTCATTGGCAAAGCCTACTGTGGCCATGCAGGAGTAGGCAAGAGTGCCAGGTTCTGGGCTCTACTACATCCCCTTAGCCTGTGTTAGACACCTTCCATCGCTGGAACAGAATGCCTGAGAGCATCAGCTTTGAAAGAGGAAAGCTCTATCCTGGCTCAGTTTCAAAGGTTTCAACCCTGGGTCAGCTCCTTTCTCTACTCTTGGGCCTGTGGCAAGGTGGAACATCATGATGTGTGTAAAGCTGCTCACCTCATGGTGACCAGGAAGGGAGGCCTAATACCCCTTCCTAGAATACACATCAGTGACCTTATTTCCTTCCACCAGGCTCTACCACCTAATGTTTTCTCCATCCCTAGGGACAAAGTCTTTAACACATGGGCTTTGGGGGCACATTTAAAATCAAGCCATAGCACCTCTATATTAAAACATTGTGAAATCACACCCATATCACATACCCAAGCTGGCTCGAGAGAATGAAGCCCTATAGCCAAAGACTTTCCCAGGAAGGGAAGGGTCTGACTTCCCAGGATGTCCCTGGCAGCCTGGCTTTCATACTGGATCCACACTTCTGCTGTCCACAGAAGCAGGAATGGGGGCCTCCAAGCATGATGAGGCATGTTCAAGGAAGAAAGACACTCTGCTTCTTTTGCACATGTGAGTTTAGCAGATAAATGTGTCCTCACATATTAGTCAGCAGATGGACCTGTTAAGCTGAATTTGGTCTGTATTTTTTTGGAGCATTTCATCCATTCCTAAAACATCTTGGCACCAGGCCAACTAAAACCCCGCTCTTTTCTTGTCTTGTTATTTGGGGAAAGCATTATTCAGTGCCAGAATTATACATGCCCCACTTGGTTCCTATATAATTTGCTTTGAACCCAAATGTTTTGGCTCCGCCTCTTCCCTCTTTTAATACTGCAGAGACTCTTCCCAATGAGTCATGCCCCCCGGGAGAAATTGGCTGCAGGTCAGGTCTGGTCTTAGCACAGGCAGATAGGAAGTGAGCTGGTGTAGTGATTCATGAGAACTGTGGTTGTAGTGTGAGAGAAACATGTGGAAAAAGGGAGTTGACGTGCAGGGCCCTCCACTGAGGATGGGCTTCGTGGAGCTGGCCCTTGGGCCTCCTCTCCGGTGTGTAGCACACATAGACATTGCTTTGCCTCAGGTCTTTTCCAGGTCTTGAATCTGTATCTACTCACATTTGGCCTCACATCTCTATCCACCCAACATTGCCCCAAGTCCTGGATCCTCCAGTTTTCCTTGGGAAAACTATTTGCCTGTATACAAGTCATATCATTGGCCCAGGTAAGCACTGACAATAGTGTCTTCTAATGGGGCAGCAGCTCGGGGGCTCCTAGAAACTGGAAGGCCTGCAGGGGAGGTCCCTCCCCGTCACCTTTGTTCTCTCTCTGCCTTCTCCCACAAGCTTTGGGTCAGAATGGGAGAAAACACAGGCAAGGGCAGAGCTCAAACGCTTCACCTGAGATTGTCCAGGCCCACTCTGCCCAGAGGAGCCTGGGGCCCACGTTTAGAACTGTGGGCCGCTCTCCTGCTGACCCACTCCAGAGCAGTAGCATCTCTAGAGTAAGCCCTCATTAGGAGCCTCCACCCTCAAGTACACCTTCACCAAGAGATCAGCCCTTCTTGCTGCTGCCCACCCCATCATCAGCTGTGCTGTGTCTCTCCCCATCTGTCCCTGATGGGGACCTCCCAGAGAGCCCCTCTGACCAGTTCCTGAGAAGCTCCTTGGCTCACATGCATGTCTTGTCCCCGGGTATATCAACAGGGCCTTTATCTTACCCCTAACTCCTGACATCTTGCTGGGCTATGATAGCTTATTGGATAATGAGAGTTTATCACTTTTATGTAGCTTGGTTCCCCTCACAGAGGTGGGCCTTAATATGCCAGTGCAAACTTCAGAGACTATGGTATCTACAGCAACTTAAGGTAACAAGGAGTTGTAGAAAAGTTCTATTTTTATGATGGATAGTGCCTGCCAGGCACAGTGAAGGACCCACTGGGCTCCACCAGTAAAGCAGAATGTCTTGGTAGATTAATGACATTTACTGTGGACACGGGAGTGGGGTTTGGTGATCTCCAAGTTTATTTTCTGTTCTGGATGATCCCCAGGGCTGACCAGCAGTAGTGAAGGGCCTTGAAGCTTCTGGTCACACAGGGCTGGTGGCTGAAAGGTTTCGGGTGCCACCTCTGTGCCCACGGGTGGTGGAAGAGCCTTTGGGAATGCATGGTCAGCCAGGGTCAGAACTGGGTCATTATGAGTGTTGAGCTGCAAAGTCCAATGAGGCCACAGGAAGTGGCTCATTAAGAAAGTTTCGCTGGCTACCGACAGATGTGCCAGGAGCATTTCCAGGTGAGGCAGAGGAGCCGGGAAGAAGCAGGGAAGAAACTGACTGGAAATTCTTAAAGTTAGACATATTGATGAAATCATGTAAATGACAGTTGACTGTAAGCCGTCTGCCAGGGAGGAGGAACAGCAGGCAGAGTAGCTACTCTGTGGACAGCACATCATGGGGCCTTCTAAAACGGGATTGTCAGGATGCAGCAACAGTGAGGCAAGCCACAGGAATACCAGAGAGCAAGGGCATGCAGGAGCCTACCGGGGAGCGGGCAGAGCTGCAGCCATGGGACTGGCTCTGCCAGCCGGGCATCCTATCCTACAGGAGGCCAGAGCAGTAGGAAGTGAAGCAGTCACATGACTACCCCTTCTCACCTGTTCAGCTGCATCCTAAGATAAGCCAGAGGCAAAAGGAGACATTTATGTCTCAACCTTTTCTCCTCCATTTTCTTTCTCTCAGAGACTTTTTCAGATCTTTCATTCACTCACCAAATGTTTACTGAACCTGTACCATGTGGACATAGCATTCCCAGTGTACGGTGAAGCAGGGCCGCCCTCTCGTGACATCAGCGAGCTCTTTACCACAGCGTTCATTTTTCAAGCTATGCCCTGAGTCTGAGCTTTGGAACGAGGTTGTTCTGTCCTTGAACAGCTCCCCCAGGCCCTGTGCCAGGAAGGGTGGTATATGCTGGGGTCAGAGAACTTCTCGGTACCCACTTCTGTGCTCCTTGCCCAGTCTGGGCCCGTTCTTGCTCTGACCAGAGTTTCCATCTGTGTCCCCTGGGTTTTGCTCTCTGAGCCTGAACCTTCTCGGGTCTCTGAAGACTGAGACTTTCCCAGCTCTTCACTCTCCACGTGGTTTCCTGGCTTTCAGAATGTGGAGCAGCAGCAAGATACATTTTCAGCCTTGGCCCAGCGAATCGGAAGGCACTCGGGACCTCCTAACAGACAGCTGTGGCTGTTGGTAGTTGGGATTCTAGTGAATCCCGCCCAGCTTCCCCTTTGGGGCAATTGTCAGAGCTGTCTTCACTGTCAAATAGTAGCCTGAGCCTTGCTGCATGGCCATTGGGGCCTGGCTTGATAACACAGCAACAACAGATAGGGCCACATGGATGCAGAGCTATTGACATGGAATAGCCTGTATGTCAGGACCAGCGCCCCTGGCGTTTCTAGAAGATACATTGTGGGTGACTGGAGGGATTATAGGTTGGCAAGCGCCAGATCATTCATTCGATCAACTCTCCCAGCACATTGCAAGCCAGGTGTCAGGCACTGTAAGAGGTGCTGAGGGAGAAACATAATAGTAAACAGAGCAGACACAAGCCCCCACCTTCCTGGAGCTTGGATGGAGGAAGCAGACCGACAAGAGTAAGGTGCAGATTGATAGAGATCCACCCTGGTCTGTGTCCCATTGACTGCGTGGAGACTTTGGTCTAGAAACCTAACCATGGTATATGGAAGTTACCACACCCATGTCCCAGACCTGACTTGAGGAGAGGAACCCATGAAGCCCTCAGCTGGAGGAACTGAGCAGCCATGATATTTGGGAGGTGATGACTGTGGGCAGCTGTACAGCCAGTTCATTTACCCTACTTTGGCGTTAGGTGCTAAGAGGCCATTTCTTCCCTCTTTGATTCCAGAAATGTCTAGATCTGCTTCACTGTTACATTTTGACCAAAACACCGTGTTCTCTTCTCATTGTGAATTATTGTCCCCAAATATATTTTTTTCAAATTGTACCTTAAAGTTTAATCCATGGTTTCAAATAAGCTAAGTAATTTTTAAACCTTAAATATTATTACTTTTTAAATTTTGGTCAAGTATACACTACATACAATCTGCCCGTTGCACCATTTATCTGTCCGCAGTGCCATTCTGTACCTTCCTGGTGTTAGGCATCCATCTTCAGAACTTAGACTGAAGTTCTGGACCTGTTAGACTAAGCCCTCTGCTTCTTCTCCCTGTTCTCCGTGGACTTGACTCATCTAGTTCCTGAAAGAGTAAAATTTTAAATTTTCACACAAGGTCTCACTAAGTCACTCAGACTAGCCCTGACCTCACTCTGTAGTTGCCTGTGGCTCATGATCCTCCTGCCTCAGCCTCAAGGAGCCGAGGGTACAGGCCTGTGCCCCCAGATCTGGCTTATATGGTGCTATTCTGAAGGCTGTGGAGCCTTTAGGAGGTGGGCCTGGCTGGCAGAAATGGCTGACCTGTGAAGGTGATACCTGCCCGTGTTCTAGCCTGTGTTCTCTGCTTCGAGGTCTTCGAGATGTCTACACGACTAACTCCTGTCACAGAGTGGCTCCACCATCCCTTCCTTGCTATAATGGATGAAATCCTTCTGAAGCTTTGAGTCAAAGCAAACCTTCTTTCTCCCTTCAGGTCCTTCTGTCAGGTAATTTGTCACAGTGATGAAAAAAGTAGCTAATACAACTGAGTGTAACCCCTTCAAGGTTCATTCATGTCAGAACACTCAGGTCTGTATTTTATGGCTCAGATTTGAAATGCTGGGGCCAATAGAGTCATGGGTCTTACACTCAGCAGGAAGGGAACCTGACTCCCGCAGATGGCAGGAAGGAGGAAGTGAGAAAGTTGTGGTGGAGACCATCTCCAAAATTGCTGTGTGTGACCTCAGAGGATGACTTGCATCCCATACCATCTTTCAAGACGTCTGGGGGAGGCTTACCTTGAAAGCAGGATCCAGAGGCAGATAGTTTGTGTGTTTCATTTTCAAGGAACTGTCTTTCCTAAAGGGGTCATGCCCTAAGGGCTGTGGGAACTTTAGAAAGTTTGTTCCTGGAAAAGTAAGTGCTGAATTTACCAATTGATGTCTTTGAACAGACAGAACCCAGTGCCTGGGAAGCCATGGCAGACCTCTACTCCCCCAACACAGCCATATACACAGGTCCCCAGACTTGGCACCTCACCTGCTCCTGTTTTTATGACATCAGATGAACACTTGTCCTTGACACCAAGACAGAGAATCAGATGCCTCTGCACCGCAGTCAAGAGGTGTCAGGTAAAGTGGAAAGGTGCTGGGTTGCACCTTCTACCAATAGGGGGCATCGCCAGGCTTTAAGAGAAGACTGAGGTTGATTGGTTCCAGAACGTGGGTCCCGGCCTCAGGCCCTTGAGAGTTTAGAAAATCTGAGTTAGAGCTTGGATAGTGATTTAGTGAACAGCAATGATGGTAAATGCCACCAGGAACGACTTCATACTCCTTACATGCCCGAGTCCAGGTCACCTTGGGATGGGAGGTCAGTCAGTATTCACAAGGTGTGGAGGACTTGGCTGGGTTTCAGCAACTATGCTGAGTACTTTCTAAGCACTGTCACCTCCGCATCTCCCAGCTACCTGAGGAGACACCTGTGGCTTTTGTCTCCACCATACAGACAGGGAGAGCTAAGCTCAGAGAGGTGCCGTCACATGACTGGCAGATGACTGGGCCAGGATTGGACCTTGGTGTGTCTGATTCGAGGCTCCTAGCTTGATTTGGTTAATGAGCTGACCGTGGCCTCTCCAGCTAGCCAAAATAGTGGGTATCTTCTGCATTTCCCCGCGGGGTCATAAAGCCCAAGTGCTTCTTCTGACAAAGCTCTTTCCAAATCCCCTGGGAAAGGAGGGCTGTCCAGAGAGGTCCTGGTTTGTGGTCCTCCCATTCCAAGTGCTTCTCAAAGAGAGGACTAGATTCTGAGTCTCTCCTTGCTGCCTTCCCACTCTAAGCAGAGCAGCAAAACTCATACCTCATAGCTTCTGGTTTGGAGGAAGAACTGCTTCCCTCCAGGCCTGGCCTTTGCCTGCTCTGGTTATATCTCACTGCGTTTAAGCTGCAGGGCCATTCAGGGCTCTGGGCTCTGAGGCAGCCCAGGCTTACTGCTCAGAGGCAGCCTGGGCTGGGAGCTCCCTGGTCATTGGCATTGGCTCTTCTCCGAGAACACTCAGCAAAAGCTGTAGAACTGGTCCAGCTTGGCACCTTCATCCCTCCTTCACACTTATCACCTGTCGTGATGTCTCCTTGCTTGGTCCTCTAGGTGGCATCCAGATCAATAGGTGGAAAAGACAGAAATCAGTATTACCTATCTCACTAAGATACCTGTGTGCTTTCAGCACTGTCATGGCCAATGGTAGCCCCAGCTCCACTCACATTGGGGTAGAGGATGAACTCCAGGATCAGCAACCTCACATCATGACAGTATTAGAGTCACTGATTTGTGCCTCATCAAGTCACCTCCAGAGGCAAACATAGAGTAGAATTTAATAAATACTCATTGAATCAATCAAAATGTATTTGTCTTGGCATCCACATTCTTTCTTCCAGCTCCATAGAT